CTCGGCCGCATCAAACACCGACAGAAGCAGCTGGCAGTACTCGCCACTCACCACGCTCTGGATGCGCGTGCGCAGCTCCTGGCGGTACAGACGCATGTACACGATGCGAATGCGCACCAGCAGGCGGTAGTACCGCACCACCCACGCACTCAAACCGTACGCGTTCTTGCTCGCACTCTTCAGCGTCGTATCGAACAGCTCCGCAAGCAGCTCCACCGGCTCCAGCACCGAGCGCACCAGGAACAGCAGAGCGCGCTTGGCGTCGCCAGAGAATTCCGCCGTGATCGCGCCCGCCAGGTCCGTCTTGTACTTCGCCACGTACGCACTGTTGATGTTGCGCACGTGCTCAGCAGGGCTCAGCACCAGGATGTTGATGAACGTCGTCTCATCCGTGCCCATGCGGCCCTCCCCCGCCTTGTACAGGGCGTCCGCGTCCGCAGCAGCCTTCACGCTCGTGTGGATCGACGCGTTGAACTCGGCCACCTCACCGCGCATGGCGGTCAGGATCACCTTCTTCAAGTCGCCGCTAAGCTCGCCGCTCAGCACCTTCACCAGGTCCTCGCCGTACTTCTCCTGGAACGTCTTCTTCAGCAGCGCGATCTCGGCGTTCGAGCGCGCCATCACGACCGGGTAGATCCACTCCTCGGTCGTGCCCAGGCCCTTCGTCGCCTTGCGCAGGATCTCGGCCTCCACGTGCTCCAGAGGGCTCGCCAGCATCTTCAGCAGAAGGCCGTAGTCGCTCGTGCTCTTCACCCACACCGTCAGGCTCTGCTTGTACAGGATGCGGTAGCGCCACCAGATCAGGTAGCGCTGCTCTGCAGTCTTCGACAGCAGCAGCGATGCCAGGGCAGCCTCGTCCGAAGCCGCGCCCGTGCACACGCGCTGGATCTCCTGCGCAGCCGCATCGATATCGGCAGAGAACGTCATCGACTCGACGCTGCTGCCCTCGCGGGCGTAGCGGGCGTACAGGCTGCTCATCGCCGCGGTGGCCGTGGCGGTCTCCGTCAGAGCAACAGAGCTCTCCTCTTCGCTCACGCCAGACATCGACGCAGTCACCGTAGAAGCAGAATCCAAGACGCTCGCCGTCTTGCTGCCGGTGGCGCTCACTGCAGCGCTCGACGAGATCCTCGCCTTCTCCTCCACCGACGCGCTAGCGCCAATGGCCGCACCGACAGCAGCGGTAGCAGCAGCAGCACCGCCCACAGCAGCAGCGGCACCACGAACAGCAGACCCGCTCGACGTGCTCACAGTACCACCACCAGCAGCAACCACCGAGCCAGACGCCGACGCCGACGCACCGAACTCCACCTCGGCCGCATCAAACACCGACAGAAGCAGCTGGCAGTACTCGCCACTCACCACGCTCTGGATGCGCGTGCGCAGCTCCTGGCGGTACAGACGCATGTACACGATGCGAATGCGCACCAGCAGGCGGTAGTACCGCACCACCCACGCACTCAAACCGTACGCGTTCTTGCTCGCACTCTTCAGCGTCGTATCGAACAGCTCCGCAAGCAGCTCCACCGGCTCCAGCACCGAGCGCACCAGGAACAGCAGAGCGCGCTTGGCGTCGCCAGAGAATTCCGCCGTGATCGCGCCCGCCAGGTCCGTCTTGTACTTCGCCACGTACGCACTGTTGATGTTGCGCACGTGCTCAGCAGGGCTCAGCACCAGGATGTTGATGAACGTCGTCTCATCCGTGCCCATGCGGCCCTCCCCCGCCTTGTACAGGGCGTCCGCGTCCGCAGCAGCCTTCACGCTCGTGTGGATCGACGCGTTGAACTCGGCCACCTCACCGCGCATGGCGGTCAGGATCACCTTCTTCAAGTCGCCGCTAAGCTCGCCGCTCAGCACCTTCACCAGGTCCTCGCCGTACTTCTTCTGGAACGTCTTCTTCAGCAGCGCGATCTCGGCGTTCGAGCGCGCCATCACGACCGGGTAGATCCACTCCTCGGTCGTGCCCAGGCCCTTCGTCGCCTTGCGCAGGATCTCGGCCTCCACGTGCTCCAGAGGGCTCGCCAGCATCTTCAGCAGAAGGCCGTAGTCGCTCGTGCTCTTCACCCACACCGTCAGGCTCTGCTTGTACAGGATGCGGTAGCGCCACCAGATCAGGTAGCGCTGCTCTGCAGTCTTCGACAGCAGCAGCGATGCCAGGGCAGCCTCGTCCGAAGCCGCGCCCGTGCACACGCGCTGGATCTCCTGCGCAGCCGCATCGATATCGGCAGAGAACGTCATCGACTCGACGCTGCTGCCCTCGCGGGCGTAGCGGGCGTACAGGCTGCTCATCGCCGCGGTGGCCGTGGCGGTCTCCGTCAGAGCAACAGAGCTCTCCTCTTCGCTCACGCCAGACATCGACGCAGTCACCGTAGAAGCAGAATCCAAGACGCTCGCCGTCTTGCTGCCGGTGGCGCTCACTGCAGCGCTCGACGAGATCCTCGCCTTCTCCTCCACCGACGCGCTAGCGCCAATGGCCGCACCGACAGCAGCGGTAGCAGCAGCAGCACCGCCCACAGCAGCAGCGGCACCACGAACAGCAGACCCGCTCGACGTGCTCACAGTACCACCACCAGCAGCAACCACCGAGCCAGACGCCGACGCCGACGCACCGAACTCCACCTCGGCCGCATCAAACACCGACAGAAGCAGCTGGCAGTACTCGCCACTCACCACGCTCTGGATGCGCGTGCGCAGCTCCTGGCGGTACAGACGCATGTACACGATGCGAATGCGCACCAGCAGGCGGTAGTACCGCACCACCCACGCACTCAAACCGTACGCGTTCTTGCTCGCACTCTTCAGCGTCGTATCGAACAGCTCCGCAAGCAGCTCCACCGGCTCCAGCACCGAGCGCACCAGGAACAGCAGAGCGCGCTTGGCGTCGCCAGAGAATTCCGCCGTGATCGCGCCCGCCAGGTCCGTCTTGTACTTCGCCACGTACGCACTGTTGATGTTGCGCACGTGCTCAGCAGGGCTCAGCACCAGGATGTTGATGAACGTCGTCTCATCCGTGCCCATGCGGCCCTCCCCCGCCTTGTACAGGGCGTCCGCGTCCGCAGCAGCCTTCACGCTCGTGTGGATCGACGCGTTGAACTCGGCCACCTCACCGCGCATGGCGGTCAGGATCACCTTCTTCAAGTCGCCGCTAAGCTCGCCGCTCAGCACCTTCACCAGGTCCTCGCCGTACTTCTCCTGGAACGT